ATATATTTTCTGAGCCTAATTTGTGTATTTGTTTGCCTGGAAAAGAATTGCATGCATTTAAAAAAATGCACTAAAGATGGCTTGTTGCTTATTTCATAGAGGCGTACTGCGGTCCCATGTAGCATTTCTGTGGTTCTTAGGCTTCATGGACAGCAAGTAAACAGATTTATGATATTGTTGGAATAGACTGTGGGTCTCATGAGGTGTGACAGCTGTTATTTTACAGTACTTAAGTCAGTGTGAAGTGACAGTCAACCACCTACTGGAAATACTACATACAGGCATAAATAATGTGTATCCACAGGAGTCCTGCAGCACATAAATGCAATAATGCAGTCATATCCCCTCTTTCAAATGCACTCTCCTTGGAAAATCAGGACCACTTATTGGGCAGCTGTGATGCTCCATGACAAATTGCCCATTCTCCATGCCTACCCATTTTTTATGGCACAATCCACTGTTTTCAAAGACAGTCTTTTTGAGCTTGCAATTTATTCCATCCACATTCTTTTTAGTACACAGACCAGTTAAATTACTGTAAATCCACAGATGTGAAAATAACTACCTATGTCTTCTTCATTAAAGATCCACACATCAAAAAAATACATTATTTTCAACATAAAACAGGGGTAGTTCTTGATCCACCTTCATCACAACAGAATAAAAAAGTTTTAATAGAAGCACCTCATACACAGGGCACGTTTTGTAACACAGCCAAAAACATTACCTGAAGCAGTCTGTTAATTTGACACTGGTTCAGGAGGCAGGACCTGATTGAATAGAGTCAGAACAGCTTCATGGTAAGAGTACAGTGTCAGGAGTCAAGAAATCCAGCCTCTCCTCATGGCTGTATATCAGATTATTTATGTAACTATGTGTAACTCGGGTCAGGGCTCAAACGCGTGACTGAATTATGAGCATGCAATAAGCTACTGTGGGTCTAAGCAGCAATAACTCAGGAATAACTCCTTGCATTCTCATAACCAGTGAAGGATACATAAACTGATGCAAGTACTTTGAATCTGGGCAGATGCAAAACAGTACTTAGAAAGTGTAAATAATACTCAGTTGTCAAGGGGATAACGTCATACAGTGACCTATATGGATTTCATTAGGTGCCCATAAATTGAAATAAATCTTTTTATTTTAGCAATCATAAATCTACCTGTGGAGGTGTAAGTGTTCCAGTCGCTTCCTTCCATTATTTCTTACAGATATTTATTTATCATTTGTTAAAAAGGCTGTTTCCCAGAAGAGGAAACAGACTTCTGTCTGTTCACAGAAGAGATTTTGTAAAATATTTACCCTGCTCAGGTTAACCTTCACACTCACAAAGGTAGTAGTTTTGGGTTTGGTTGGGTGAGGTTTCAAGTTTGTTTTAAGCTTCAAGGTTATGCTAGAGTGCTGATTAGACCAACTTATTCTGCCAGGGATATTTTTTTCCAAGAATTTTTAGATTAAATTTATATCAGCAGATTTTATATAAGATAGTTTGTCAGCACTTGTCTCACTTTACGCCAAATTAGGTATCATTTGTCCTCCCACAGATGGAATAACACAGAAAACCACTACAAAACCACATGCTAGTTAGACGTAGCTAACTCAATAGGATATGGGGAAAGACAAACAGGAGGAAATTAGGTTTCATTTAAATGGTTTGCACTATTAAAAAAATCCTAAACCCATTAAAATTGGATTTTCAAAATAGATTTTGTATGTATGGACAGAAGTCAATTGACAGGAACTTGCAAAGCAATTAGAAACATAACTACTATAGCCACTGACAAATGGGGGAAATACAACAACTGAAGCAGAGTCATCAGTCATCAAAAGCAGAAAAAAAAAACAGAGGGGAGGAGGGTGTAAGAAGAGGTGAAGACAGTATGTGTTGTTGATAGTAATAACATTTCTACCAACAAGCCACAAGCTCTGCATTCAGCTCCCAGCAGAAGCAAGCTATATTTATTCTTCATCTGCACAGGTAATTATTTAATTTATTTGTACACAAGTGATAACATCTGCACTCTGCTCCCAGCAACAGTCTGAGCCCTTCCTCTGCCCTGCCTCACCACCTGTCTCCAAGTTTGAGCTACCAAGAGGTGGCAGAACCACTTACCCAAGCAGGCATTGGCTGCCTGACAGACTGAAGATCCATATTATTTTAAAACAACTTTCAATGCAAAAATTTACATACTAAAGCAGAAAGACTGAATCATTCATTGTTGGGATTCATTAAGCAATTTGGGCAGAGAGGACTTTCTCCCTCAGCTGGAGCTCTAGATGCTCAGCATTAATGATCCTGGTGCTGCAATGGATTCTCCTGCTTCAGCCAGGGGGATCTGGCAAACGCATACCACACAGGCACTTCAGCTCCACTTCATAATGTGAGCTCCCTCAAGTGCCTATTGCTGCAGAGCAGAAGACAGGTATGTTGTCACACTGTGACACAAACTAACTCACAGAAGCAGGCTCGATGTAAAAGGAAAGAAAAAGAACTCAAAAAAGCAAACTTTATTTTCTGACTCCACTACATATACAATAGCAAAAATGATGGTGGATTGTAGGGTGAAACTGCCACTTCTCCAACCACACTGGTCAAACCAACAGTCCATCAATTCTCTCCACCCACAAAGAAGAATGGAAAACAATCATTATTTACATGAACATGCATGAGAAAACTCAGTTGAAATACGTAAATATCAGCTTTTAGAAGAACTTTAAAACTTTCAAAAGGACAGGGCAATAGTATGTTACTACTGCCACATGGGCATAACACACAACTTGTCATTTAGATCACTACCTACAATCCTGCCTATTGAAGGCTAAAAATCTCGCAAGTTCCAAGTCCTAAAGCAAAATGGGTTAAACTCTATTGCAACCTCCAGACAGCTCACTTCATCTTTCCTAATTCACACTCACTTTCACATCAGAGGGAGATGAACAGATTACGGCAATAACATCCAACAAGGTGACAACTAAAACTTCATTTTCTTTCTTGTATCTAGATAAAATTTTGGTAACAAGTGGTGCTTAACAAGAGTATTCAATGTGGAATTAGAAAAATCTTCATAAGACAGCAACACAGGTATAACTTCAAGGTCCCTTGATGTGTATTACTCAATATTCTGTACTTCTGTTTCCTGTTTCCTCTAAATCCAGCACAACTATCTGGAGTAACAATAACAGTCTCTGCTTATGTTTCTGCCTACCATATGTATGCTGGCCAGAATTCTTCAACTTAACATATGAGAAGTTACAGCCCCACCTAAGACAGGTTTATGATTCAAGCTATTTACAGAGCCAGACACCAACACCACTGATCAACAGCAGTCAATAGTTCCACTGAGCCAATTGTCAGCACCCATTCCCAGCTGCCCATGGCTGGAGATCAGATGTGAGGCTGAGCAAAGGTGTGTCAGACACCTCTCTCCCCTCATGGATGCCTTTGAAAGGTGCATCAGTTTTTGCCAACCTAGAGAAACACACAACTCGGATTCTCAACAGACCAGTGACACAAGTCAACACAACCCCCTCCCTTTTTGTGCAAACACACAAAAAAGATATATTAATACCAGGGCCACATTCATTTCTTGGTGGACTGTCCCAGAAGAGCTGCTTGGACAAGATGGTCTGCCATCTCCAGTCAGTATCTTAGAGCCTTGGCAGAATCCTGCAGCCAGCCCTAGGGACCTGAGCATATCCACACCATCTTTTAGTGTGACTGCAACCTCAGCAGGAACAACACAAGCAGTAATGTTCATTTCAGTGCCACTGTAGTTCATAACATAGATGCTGTTGAATCACACACTACAGCATAATAGGCAACATGCCCCACATTAAGCTTTGGAGTACATCACTTCAAAGCAGATTTATTGGGCTTTGGTATTGGTTTTTTTTTTCATTATTATTGTGTCTATTTTTTGTTGATATTAGAAAAGCTTGTTGTTTTGAAAAACTTCTCAAAAAAAGGAACTTGAATCAAGGATGAAGCACAGCCATAGCCTAGAAGTGATTCAGACCAGGAATGACTGTCACAACTGCTAAGTGGCTTCTACAGAGCTGATCTCTGCCCATTCCTGAAAGAACAGGTGCCCACAGGACCAAAGCCAGCAGCACGGCTGTGTGAATCACTCACTGTCCGAGGGCAGACCAGTCAGGCTCAACCACAACAGCTGCCAGAGCCAAGCAATCCTCTGAGCAGCATTTTGTTCTGAAAGGAGCCCAATACATGGCACAGCTGATAAACTCTACATGTGGCTTTTAAGTCCAACAGACACTTCTAATGAGTTTTCCATTTACAAATTATTTTTAAAAACCCCCACAGTCCTCACCAGAAAAATAAAAAGCAGATCTTAAATTGTTTCCAACATATTTAGTCCTCAAAAATCTAGGTTTGCATTATTAAGATGACAATTTGCTTGGGTTCTTCCAAGGAAGATTATTCTAAGGAGAAATGGCCAGATGAGACAAAACAAATCCTAAAATCTTCATACTCCCCACCTTTTAAAGATCAGACCCAGAAAACAAGAACTTTCAAGCAGTCTTGTGAATCAGCACAACAGCACCTGACCTTGGCTTCAGAACCTGTGATTCACTGTGGCACTCCAAGCCTGGCCACATTGCCCTCACCCACCTCAGCAGGACAGAGCACAGGCAGTGACCCACCAGCTCCAGGCAGAAGCTCTCAGCTCTTACACCTCCTTCTTCTCAGAAAAAAATCCTTTTGCACAGAATTTTTGCCTGCTTTGTTTAAAGGCATAAAACTTTTAACTCCAAGCCATTCCCAACATCTCCAAAAAAATACAAACCAGATGAAATTGACTAAATTTTTTTCAGTCCCACTCTCTTCTCCCTGCCAACTCTATAGTCCCATTCAGGGAAAATGCAGTGGTCAAAACATTCCATAAAACACAAACACCACATAAACCACTTCAATTTGGTTTCCCATCTACATCTTGAAGCAAAATGGAAAAAAAAAGGAAAAAAGACATACCAAACCATTAATTTTCATGTGTTTAATGTAATGGCACTCTAACTTTACAGTACTTTCATCTCCACTACATACTGTGTTTCCAAAGTATAATGGGAAGAAAATAAACATAAAAAAACACTTTGATGGCAGTTTTAAAAACTAAATCATTTGGAGTTACATATGCATAAATTACTTTCAAAAAATTGTTCAGGATTTTATTTTTCACTCTTGTCTAACAAAAGCTGATTTTGTTGGGTATTTTCATAAGATTTAAAGAGAGATCAAAGATGGCACTTAAGAAACTCTGAAGTCAGGGGTGTCATAAGGTTATAACAGGACTTCCGCTCGAGCCTGCCATGAAGCAAACACTATAAATAGGGAAAGAATGTGCAAGAGCTCCGATTAAGTGAGCAGCACAACATGTTTTGCAAGCTTGTGTTCTGAGGGCCATGAAAGTGAAGACTCTTGGCTGAGGAAAGCCTGTCCAAGTTTCCCCAGCTAAAGCCTATTCAAAGCAAACCCATCATAGAAAACCACAGGGACAGTCATACATTGGTCTCTGTGGATTTGACCTTGGATCGACAACAAAAACAACCAGAAAGGTGTCTTGCAGAAGCCATAGAAATAATGGAAAGCATTTGCTGTTTTTCCCATGAATAAGTAATTAGGAGAAATAACATGAAATCAAGTTAAAATAGACTAGAGAGAAGCTTTTTTAAGGTGGATCAGATATAAAAATAGCAACACTATTGGTTTTCTTGCACTTTACAAGAGATCAGGAAAACAAGCACACTTATATACTAAGTTTGGAGCATTCTTAAAGAGGGGAAACTAGTCTAGAAGCAGCCAGGACCTTTATTTTCACCTAATAGTTTAGCTCAAAAGATTGTGGACTTATACAGTCACTTAAATGACTTGAATTTTCAGGGTGAAATGTGTTTCCTACAATTGATAGTGTTAATTTTAGTTTTCATTCCCTCTAATTTAGAGCTCAGGAAGGGACCTAAGTGAATTGCTCATTCTCATATTTCCAATTTTTTTTTAATTAATAAAAATCCCACTTCAAGAGTTGCCTCCCATCAAAGGACATTCACAAGCACTCTCATGTTTAATACTTAATCATTGTGAAAGTAAGCAATAACTTCAAGTTAATAATTTGTTCACTTGGATGCCCATATGATATGAATTGGGCAGACAGCTTGATTCATGCACAGCACTAATGGAGTCCTGTGTTAAAGAAATGTTGAAGAAAATAAATGCAGAAATCTACACAAAGTACAATTTTTGCTTGAATCATATATTAATTATACAGAAGAAACAAAAATCTCTACTTACAAAGAAAAGGGTGAAAAAAAAACAAACACACTCAATCCAGTACTTTTCTTACTGTAAGAATATTGCACATTCCGATAATGTTGCACAAATTACTGGCTTTTAATAAAGACCATATATGAGGTATTAGTCTATTAATAAATAAAGAAGAACATGGAAAAGGAAAAGCACTTTATATAGCGCAACAATCCATTCCAAGGATTAGGCAATGAAAACTGAACAAGCAATAATATGTACACTTGAGTGGAAGGCTAAAGTTCCTTAACGAATAGGCAGCTTTCAATATCCATCTGAGAAGCAAAGGGTTAAATCTCTTAATAAAGATTTTAAGAACTCAAAGCCTATTTAGAACACTGCTAGTTAAAATGCTTATTTTGCTCATGCAATCAACCTGAAAGGTAAATTCTTACCTTGAAGTTCTAAAGGGACAGCCAATTTAACATACTGAACCTGTATGACTAGTTAAGCAAAAGTTACTAGTTAAACTAAGTTACAACAGAACTTTTTGACTGACATCAGCTAAAGTATTTGGGGGTTTGGTTGTGCAGCATTTTCTGGTGGTTTTTTTCCCCTTTTTAGTTTTAAGTAGTTTGCACTGGTTGTGGGTTTCCATGGTGGTAAAATCAATACCCATTAGTATTGTCCTTATTAGCAGTTTTCAGCACCACAAAGCATTGAATGAATACAAGAATTGTAATTTTCAGTTTTACTCTGTGGTTCGGCTAAGAATTTACCATTCAAATCACAACACTGAAAAATTCCTGTTGACAGGTAATAAATCTGCCAATCTAAACACTGTAGTTTTTACTAAGACCCTTTCAGGAGCACTACAAATCTGCAGGAAAGCTTATCTTACTGAAGTTCCTAAGATCTCAGAGGGATATTTTAGTTCAATAAAGTGAGTCATAAAAAGTACATTGCACACGTGGTGATATAGTAAGCCTAAAATAAGAGTGTTTTGGGTGTGCCCTTCCAAATCCTGTTAGAGAGATATTTGTATTGTGGAAGGAGGGGGAAAAAAACAAAACAAAAACTTTGTGTGCACACAAACGTACATACATGAATATCCCTATGTCCCCTCAATAAGTCAAGGGTTATTCAAATCCTAATATCGTTTCAGGCCAACACAGAAAAAAAACTAATTCCTACATCACTCACAGTCTTCACATATTCCATTGCTATTTCCAACTTCAAAAAGTAAGAGTTTTGCTATGATATTTTGCAATGCTAGAGAAACAAAGACCCAGGGAAGTAATTTCTGCTGCTATTTTGTGTAAATTACGTAATTTGCACAGTAAATCTGTATCAGGTAAAAACTGCAAGTGCAAACTTGGAAAAAAAACGATTGAAAAAAAAGCAGCATGTCAAAAATTAAAGTATCACCTCTGCTTCAACCTACACACCAGTAATTCAATCAGTCCTGAACTGGCTTCTAAGAAAAAAAATTATATTACACTTCTGAAATGAAAAATATATATCTTGCACTCAAATTTAGGGAAAGTGTTCACTAAACTGAAATATAATTTCTTCTGTCACATGAGAATATTTCTCTACCATTCTAAGTAGTTGTTGACACATTTATTTCCCAACAGCATGTTGTCTATTCTGAAGATTAGTTTCATTTACAACCTCTTCATAGTAGTTTAAGTGTTTTTTAGAAAATACAGTTCAGAGAATTTCTTCCATGTTAGCACAAAACCAAGAAAGATTATGAAGATGTTGAGTAAAGAAGAAAAGTTTAGAAGAAAGGAAACATTATTGTCCAGAACAGTCGGTGTATGTGGTAACCATGTTTCCTCGTCTCTGAGTGACAGTCCTGCAGTGCTTGCTGGATCCATGAAACCTGGCATCAGTTCGCACCGCGTGTCTGTGTGCATTTTCAAAGTCACTGAATGAAAACATCTTTTCCATATTTTCAAACACATCATCAAACAGCCCACCTCCAAAAGAAAACTCTTGGAAAGAACGTCTTTGCCGGTTATGAGCCTCCCGATGATTTCGGAAGTGATTTTCAAAGTGCTTTTTTGACCGCGAGTTTTGACTAAATAGGTCAAAGTCTTTGAAGAGATCGTCAAAGTTGAAATTAAAAGACTGATGGAACGGGCTTCCATTACTTCCTCTTCCTCCATGACGGCCAAGCTGATCATATTCTCTTCGTTTATTCTCATCTGACAATGTTTCATATGCTATTTATGTGTAAACAAAAAAAAAAGTTAACAGTTTATTTCCATTTAAAAAAACAGAAAAAACTAAAATAATACACAAAGAACAGCAGCTTTCTCTCCCACTCTTCCTGAACCAAGGAAATTTCAAACAAGACTTTCATTCAATGTTCAAGCCTAATCAAGAGCTCAATGTTTATTTACCTTTCTCCAAACCAAAATAAACTGTGTCAAAATAGTTACTTACAATAATAAACACTGCTATATTATGAGTACAGGTTACACATAATACAAAACAATTTAACTACGAATAAATATTAGTGTTTAGATTTGAAACAAAATAACAATGAAAGGTGGTGATCAGAAAGCCTGAAGGAGGAAGAATGAGTTAGGAGCTCTGCCTAACAAGACAAAGGATCTGCTGCACTCCTATCAAAGAAGCCCAGGGCAACATCTGCAAAGCTACTTTGCCACCCAGCAAGTTCTAGCTACACCAGTTACAAGCAACAACATAAACATCGAGGAGAAAAAAGAAATTAATTTTAACAGGTGCCAATTCTCATTTTGCAAGTTCAGCAATAAAGCTAGATTTTGTGACTGGATATATCCAAAATGAAATTTTGGAAAAGTCCATCTGTTCTTTATTATCCACTCGCACCATTTTATCACACAATACTTGTGTTGTATCTGTAGGATCACAGATAGTTCAAGATAGACATGAGCTCAGTCTCTAACCTCCTGCTCAAAGTAGAGTCAGTAATGAGATCAGACTAGGTTAGTCAGTGCTTTTACCCAGTCACTCCTGAAAAGTGTCCAGTGTTGGAGACTGCACAACCTCTCTAGGCTATCTGTTCTAACACTGGCCTGCAGAACAGAATCACAGAATTGTTAAGACTGGAAAAGAACTCCTGGATCCTCAAATCCAACCATTATCCTCAAGGTGAAAAAGTTTATCCTTATAACCACTTGAACCTCTTGCACCGGTTGTTTATTGTATCTCCCCCATTGCCACTGAAGCACCCTGCTGTGTGTTTTCTTATGATCTCCCCATAGTTACTGCAAGGTTGCTGTTAGGCCCTCCTGGAGCCCTGGTACTAATCCTGAGCCAGATCTCACAAGCCAGACCAAAAAATAAAAATTAACCTCCTAGGGCTAAAGCTGTCCTACTACCAAGTATTTTTTGTGAGAAGAATATTCCAAAAGCCCAATAAGCAGAAATGCATAAACTGTGTAAAAGGGTATCCTATGTGCAAGAACACAGAAACAACTCAGATTTTGATGCTTGATATCTGACAGCACTTAAGTGGAATTCAGAAAAAAAAACCTTTATACCTCTTATCCAGTAAAAACAAAATGCACTTAGGTTATAGATATAAGACATGTATCAAATTGTTATGACAAAAGAGAGTGTAGATTACCTTCAGCAATTTCTCTAAATTTTGCTTCTGCTCCAGGACTCTTATTTTTGTCTGGGTGGTATTTCATAGCCAGCTTGTGAAATGCCTTCTTGATCTGGCGGTCAGATGCATTTTTTGGAACTCCTAAGATATCATAATAGCTCTCTGTAGCCAGTATTAATTCTGTTATCATTAAAATGCAGAGAGCAAATGTGAAGACAGATTGTGTAGTGGCCATTTCTCCAGTTCCTAAAAAGAAAAGGAAATATACTTGAAGAACAAGTTTTACATTCCACAACAACTTAATTACAGCTGTAGGCTGGCAGAGGGAGACCAGTATGTTACAGTAATCAATGACAGACTTGTAAGCACACTGATTTACACCTGTCAAACTCCATTACGCTGTTTTCATATTCACAGAATATGTAAGTGAAAATACTGCAAAGTGACATTTCACATGCATAACAACAACTTTATTGTTTGTCTTTGTTTTACACTTAACTGATCGCTGTCATACAAAGTTGGAAAAGTAAATACAAAGCACATTTCATTGCATCTAACATTTCACTGCCATACCTGAACTAGCTTTACATTAACCTTGAGTTCTAGGACCCCAACCAGAGCAGCCCTAAATTAAGCACAGGCTGCAAAAACCTACCCTACTTGAAAACCAAGTCACTAATTAGCTGGTGCAACAATAGGAGCCTGAAAACAAGTCTAGAGATGACTGTGAGGTGCAGGAAGACAAGACTATTAGAGACTCGTGCTCAGCTTCAGTTTGTTTAACCCACCTAAGGTGAACATGATAAAGAGCAGATCATTCATTTCCAGAGTTCAGCCAAGTAAAGCACACTTTCCTCTATTTAACAATAGGCTGGCTTAGCTCATCTGCAAATCAGATTGCTTTATAAAGTAAAACACCTACCACATCTTTAATATCAAGTAATTCATCTGATAAATACCACTGCATAAAAAGGTTTACATATGAAGCCCTCAGTGTTAGAACTGAAGGGAAAAAAAAAGCCTTTTATACAAGACAAGTAGCTTCAACAATAATTAAAAGCTGTAATTTTTTTTTTCAATAACTCATCTGTCAAAAAATATATTTTGCAATAAATATATGAGAACTTAGGGGAAGATTGTGGCCTATATAAGAAACAGTTCCACAGAGCCACATGATGCCTCATGATGTTCATGAAGGACAGGGTGAGCTGTTCCGACTAAAAGGTGAGAACAGATAATATGCCCATGAATATTATATTTAAAACACTGACTGCAGAAAGGCAAATGTTCAAAGACAGAATGCTGGCTGACACCTGACCAGAAGGATGTACAACAGGACCCTGACCATTCCAGATGTAAAATGTCCCCTCCCCCCACCAGATTACACTGATTTAAATGTAAGAACAACTCAGAGATGCTTTGTGTTACTTTCCTGAAAGCTGAATAAACAAACTTACAGTCTGAGCACCATTAAAGTTAGAACACGTTTGCTAACCAGCATGGGACCAAATATTTGTCAGGCAGAATTCAAAACCTTTGAATACCTGATGCATATGAAAATTAAACATTTATCTGAAAGTCAATTCCCTCTAAACAAAATTAAAAAGAACCAAAAATGGAAAAAAAGAACACAATTTCTCATAGCCAAGTCAGCAGGCTAAAATGAATGCTGTGAGACAAGAGCAAAAGGCCTGCAAGATTAATCTTCCCATGCCCTCTTAAGCATTTATTTGGCCAGCAGCCTGCATGATATCAAGTGTTAAGGGACAGCAATTGAAACAAATTGTATTTTGATCAGTGTACTTAGATACCAAATGGACAGTTCTTTCCAGTATTCTTCATGCACAGTATCAGACATATTTTTAGTACCAAGTTTTCTAACATGGAATTTTACCACTTGGACAGTAAGAAACTACACACATGTATATTCTTCCATGCTTTTGGGGCTTTCTTCCTGTTTGTGCTTTACAGATGCAGACTTATGTGTTCATCTCACATATGTGATTGCTTTTATTTACTTCATTAACCCACATCTGCATCATGTTTGCATAATCACCTGCTGCACTATCTTAAGGTCAACCATCCTGCTTCTACTACTGAACACTGAAAAGAGCTAAAAAGAACAGTTCATGTCCTCCATTAAGAGCAAAACTCTCTTTCATAACTGATGAAGAGCCAGAGATCATCAAGTTAGTCCTTCAGGTTTTCTGCTCTGGCTCACCATCTCAGCTTGTATTATTCCTGATAACAAAATAAACCTAAATTTTCTTTTTCTACAATTCTTTACATTAGGAGTTCTGTTCTTTGCTATATTTGATTTCTAGAGTGTAGTAAAAAAATAGGTCTTAAGTTTTACTATTTTTTAAACTAGCAAACATAGATTTAATGCTCCCATTGAACATACCAATCAAACTCCAATTTAGAATAAGATGTAAATAAAAACCAAATACAAATAAAACTCCAATATAAGCTGCATTTTAGACTTCACATGGTTATCAGAGAGAGCAAGTCTTATATTTAGATACTGTCAATTATTTAATTTTTAGAAAACACCTATTTTATATGCTGTCAGTATCTTAGTGCTGCTACTGCCAACTCTTTCAGGCCTGCCATTCCTAACTATTTTTACAATCCTTTTCGAAATAAAGTCTCTTAAATACTTTTTTTGCTTATGTCTCTTCACTGTCTGTTTCTCAATCAAAAAGGGATATGTAAGTTGCACCTTCTAGGTCATACACTGCAACTACTTAAACCACATTCCAGAATTCAACAAATTCTGCACACATTAAGCTAATGCAATAATGAGCTCTTCTAATAATTATCTATGTACTTAATTTAGGAACATCTGTCAATGAAGTAAGAGCCATTATGCCACATAATAACTATTTCATTCTGTTGGGTGAGGAGGTACAGATCTCAACTACTATTCACCTTTGTACAAGAAGTGCACCATCTGATGTTTACCCAAAGTACTGCAGAGGTGATAACAACCAGTTCTTCATTAGTTTATCAATATTTATCAATAGCTGCACAACCAATCGATGTTCGAGGATGATGTACCTAGAATAAAATCTGTCAGATTTAGAAAATAATAAGCTACTTCATCTTGTAACAAAAATACCCTATGCCAACCTTCTTTAAAAGTAATTAACCAAAATATTGGATAAATGCTAATATTCAAACTCTCATGTACTCAGAAAACGGAGCATCACTAGTGTTCCGCTACCGCTTTCGTTACAGAGTTGCTATACACTAACCTGTGGAATGCTCACGTTCTGTAATTACAAGCAATTTACTAAGAGTAATAAAGTTACCGAGGTCCTCCCTCGGTTCTCCTATCACGACTAATCTGACGAGTAAGCAAGTCTTCCAGTCCTCAAGCAGCCACAAGCAAGTCTGTCAGACAAAGGAGCTTGTACTTTTCTTGGCCTCGCCTATGCTGACTCGAAAGCAAACACAGAAGAAGGCTCCCGAATGTTGCCCTGGAGCACAGGGAAAGGGAGGAATCAGCCCGGCCTATACAGACCCGGGAGCCGGACCGCAGCATCGGCCCGGGCCAGGCCAGAGCTGGGCAGCCGCTAACAGCCACGTTCGGCAACGCCGTCCCACCTCCAGGGCAGCCAGCCTGGGAAACACCACCGCAGCGCAGCGGAGGGGCCAAATAAATTCCAAATAACTGCTCCGCACCGAGCCTCAGCGGCTCCTCTCTCCGCCCCCCCCGCCTACTTTCCCACGCTGTCCCCAAGCCCCCCAGCGCCCCTGTCCCAAGCTCTCCGCGCTCACCTTCACCCCACCCAGTTCAGCAACCCTCCGCTTTCTCGGAGCCCTCACCCAGCGGCCGCGGCCCTTCCCCGCCGTCCTCACGCCGGCCCCGCTGCGCCGCCCTCAGCGCCGCCGCCGCTCCCGCCCGCCCGCGCCCGGCGCTCGCGCACTCCGGCCGCCGCCGTTCCGACACGAAGCGCTGCGCCATTGGCCGCCCGGGCGCACGTGACGCGCTGCACGCGGAAGGTCGCCCCGCGGCGCCGCCTCCCCTCGCCGCTGGGGGCGCTGTGCGGAGGCGGTGCCACCGCCGCGGCCCGGCCCGGCCCGGCCCGGCCCGCCATGCCGCGGTACTGCGCCGCGACCCACTGCAAGAACCGCGGCGGCCAGAGCGCCAAGGACCAGCGCAAACTCAGCTTCTACCCGTGAGTGGCCGCGGAGCGGGGCAGCGTCTGGGTGGGCGCTGGCCGTGGGGATGGTGGCCAGCCCCACCGCGGAAGCGAGCGGCCGGGAGACTCAGCGGCGCGGGTCGCCTTGAGCCCCGGCTGGTCCCGGGAGGCTGGAGGGAAGCGGCGCTGCCCCCGGGAAAGGGGAAGTGTAGGGAATAAAGAGCGGACGGCTGGGACGGAACCAGACACCGGCCCTCGAGCTTCGGGAGGGGTCATGACACGGCAGCGCGTAAGGGCTCCGGAATAGGTGCGGTGGGTCCGTGAACTGAAGAGCAAGGAGATTCGAGTGAAAAATAAAATTTGTGCTTCTGACTCTGTTTCTCTGCTGCCTCTACGGAAGCGATGTTCAGCAAGGCAAGCACTAGGGGAGGCTGTGGCTAAATGGTGAAGTGTCTTCTGTATGAAGGTTTACGTGCCAGGAGAAGGGCCCGGAAGAGTAAGCAAGTAAACATAAAATGATTCCTTAAAATTAAACTTTGCCGCTAGAATTGTGACCTTAGCTGCGCTGTGAGCAGAGGCATTGCTGGGTGTTTGGAAGCTGCTGTGTTAGCTGGAACTCGGTTGCCAAAAAGCAGTTTGTGGTGGCTGCACGGTGGCGCCGGTCAGGGCACGGACCAGTCCCAGCCGGCAGTAACCTCTGCCCTGCTGTGCTTACGTGGCTGTCACTTCCCAGGATGGCGAGTTATAAAGTGTTTCACAATCCTGAGAGAAGCTCACTGCAGGTAACTTAATATTGACGTATTTGTGTAGAATAAAAGTATGGAACCGTTTGTCAACAGACACAACTTAAGCAAAAATTGAAAAATAAATTTCATAATCAACCTCTAAATCTGTTTTGGTAAAATTTGTACTTCAAACTAAGTTTTCTTTCCGTTTCTGATCAGCCATAGTTATTCCAAGGTCAAGAAGGCTGTGTAGAAAGACCTACAGGAAGATTGCTTTGAAAGAAATTTTATTTTAGATTACAGGAAAGTTTATTTCCCTGGCACATTTCTAATATGGAATACATCATAAAACAATAAGGAAAATAATTTATTTTCCATTAGGCTTTAAAGAGTGTGAGCGTTACATGGATAAAAAAAAAACAAGTTTGAGCACTGAGACATATCTATATTCAAATGTATGGCATCAGTATGGAGATGATGGCCAAAACTTAGCTGGTTTATCTAGCCTTTGAATTGCGCTCCCTTCTGAGTTTCATCTTCCTGTAGAAGGGGTGCTGAGATTTGATTTATAGATTTCTCTTGCCTTATATTAGTGACTACCACTGACATGAATTGCAAGTTTTATTCCCTTGCCTCTTCCCACCACCAAAGAAGTCCTCCGCTGCCCTGTGGTTGGGGTCTGAGCCCCTTCCAAACCTTTTGGTACCTAATCTCTACTGGCCTAACTGCTCTTCTTTGTTTTATTTCTTCACTTCTTTGACTTGTGTAACAATGGCAGTTGCTAAATAAATTCTGTCCACTTCCTCTTTCCATTTCCCATTTTTTTGTGTCTTGTTTACGCTAGAGAACAGTTTCTGTTGATTAGTGATGGGTTGTTGAAGCATGAGCAGGTTTTAGCAAAATTGCATTTAAGCTAAAATAATAACTTTCACTATCAGACCCTTCTCTTGCTACAGATTATTTTGTTTTCCATCTGAAGCTGGTTGAGTCTGGGTGGAGCAGTGGGTCCTATGTTGTGAGGGTAACTGCAGTGGGAGCAAGTGTTCTCAAGGCCTTCTTGGAGAGGGTGTGAGTTGTGACATGACCTGCAATGAAAGGAAGCCATCGTCTTCCTGAGAGACCTTTTTGGATCTCTGTAGTAACACCCAGGCTAAGCTGTGTTACTGAGGAGCTCTGTCATACATACAATGCTGCCACTGGGTGTGCATGATATAAGCAGACAGGATTTGAAAAGCCTGAACCTCTAACTTGTCCTTAGGAGGTTACTGTGTTCTTACCAGCATTATTCCTTGCATTCCTGCAGATAAGCATAGCTGGATGCATCAAACGCCTTCTCTGTTTCCTTGCTAATTTGAAGACTTACATGGCAACAAATTCAAAAGATTGGGGAAGTGGTAAAGACATGCATATTTACGCTGTGAATTTTAGCCCTCTTTCTTTCAAACTCACCTGAGTTTCCAGTTTTGGAACACAGGGCCTGTGTAAGAGTCTGCTGCTATGTGTGGCTTTCGGAGGAAACCTGCAGCTTCAAGGATTTGAGGGTGGGATCACAAAAGTGGGCATTTTCCTTTGTAATTACTGTTGCGTGTGATTCTCAGAAATATTGTTTTCTGAACAGTAGTCACTTAACAGTGCTCAGAAATCAACTTATGGTTTATGTATCATATGTGGTTATATGCTAAAGTAAAATTGATGTGCACCAGAGAAACATAGAAGTACATTTCAAATACCCTGATAACCTGACTGAGGTGAGAGAAAAGAGTGGTCTGAATGTTCATGTTCCTGTTATTATCACTTCTTTACTGTGCATGCATCATAATAAGCTTTTAATTTCCCTTTCATTTGTGTATTGACTGTCATTAAGTAATTTACATTTCTTCACACACTTTCTTTTTAATTTAGTTCTCTTTCTGATGTTTGACCATTTGCATATATTTTTTAAGTCAAATTTTTTTTCTATGGGGATGTATAGTCATCATTTGCCTTTTCAGGAAGGTTAGATGATTCAAAAGTTAATTCTAAATTATAAAATATGATGTGGGCTCCTAACACTGTGAGAAAGTTTAATTGCTGAAACAAAAAATATAGAAATGCTTTGTATCTGTGTGCATTTACTTTTTGAAAAAGAATTAAAACCTGTATTGGAACTATTCACATTGCCAAATTATCTGATAATCCAAAGAGGGGCATGTATTAGGAGGTACTCTGTTAAACAGAAAATACTAGTTGTGTCTAGAAAGACAAAATAAACCCTAGATATTGATAATATGAGGACCAGTCTTAACTTTCTTTAAATTAGGTCTCACTATTTAATCTCCCTTCAGGAGAACTGCTTTCTGAGCAAGTGTTGTGGGGTCAAACCTTTCGAAACATCTTGGCCATGGATTCTGAAACCCTCGGCTAGCAGAAATCAGTAATTCTGCAGAGCAAATACCTAACTAGAAACAATTTGTATAATGATTAGATTAATGTGTTGGACATCCAGATTAGCATTTAATACTTAAAATTTTTGAAAAAAATGTTATTTTAATCTTTTCTAAAGGAAGGCTACTTTCTAAGTAATGAGATAATCTTATTTAAAACAAAGAAAGACAACAATAACAGGGGATTTTGTATATTTTCTTGTTTGTCTTTTCAACTGCTTTAAAAAGATTCCCACTTCATGATAAGGAGAGACTTGAGAAATGGTTGCGGAATATGAAGCGAGACTCATGGACTCCAAGTAAGCACCAGCTCCTCTGCAGTGATCATTTTACCCCCGATTCCCTGGATGTGCGATGGGGGATACGGTACTTGAAAAATACCGCTGTGCCAACTATTTTCTCTACCCCAGACGACGAGGTAATCTATTTCTATCTTTTTTTTGTTTGTTTTGTAGTACAAAGCTTACCAACTATTGATGTAATACAGATTTTCTAATCTGTCAGATAATCAGATTTTATTTAGAAAATAGAATTCCTGTCCATCAAAACAGTTTGTCAGCAGGACTGACACAAGACAGGTATGCGATTCCATAATGTAAAGGAAGGACAACTTCCCCTAGTTTGAGTGGAGGTTCAATATCTTTTTTTAACTGAAAATTACAGAAGCATTTACTATAGAAAATGTTACATTTCTTATGAGAATAATTACTGTGTCTTGTGCAAAACAGTCCAAATTCCCTAGAGTTTGGGAAAAACCCACAATAAAACAAATAAAAAACCCCAAACCACAATAAGGAAAAAAAACTAAAAGTCCAAACACTTATTGCTTTTAGAGCATTAAAATAGTATTTTAACATGTAGGACCTGAAGTAAAGCTGTGGAAGATGCTTACATGAATTCTTGGGCTTCTGATGTAATTTTTAAACAATGCTTGTCTGAGTTAGTCCTTTTGCAATACAATGCTATGAAATTATATCTGCCTAATTTTTTAATGCTTAGTAATTTTCTTGTTACAAGGTGGTGATATTTTTTTTTTCTCCTCCAGGAAAAAGATTCTTCTCAGAACAGTTCACAGCAGGTACAGAAAAAAGACCAGGAAGAAACTAATATTCTGTCAGAGAAAGTATCTGTATCATTTGAACCTTGTCCACCAAAGAAAAATTCTGTAATTGCACAAAATGTAGAGGAAAAAGCAGAAGTGGTTTGCTCAACTGCACTGAGTAAACCTTTTCAAATTCAAAACCTGCAGCTTCCAGATGAAGGAGGCTTTCAGGCAGACAGTGTCATTCTTGATAGTTCATCTAAGCAGTACGTACATCAGCCTAATCCTGTTTTAATGACAGCAGTCCAGGACACAGCGGCTACCAGTGTTCATGCTTCCATAGAGGATTCAGCAGATTGTACAGGTACAATCCTGCAATTTGCAGACCCTGACTACTTGAATTCATCTCTGAAACTGAACAGTGCTTTAGGGTCAGTTACTGATTATGCAGTTGAAAATTCTGTCCCTCACGTGGTCTGCTCTGGTGAAGCGCAGACAAGTGAAGATGCAGTTTTACTGAGTACAGTCACACAAACTATTGAACAGTTCAGTGGAAGTGAAGAGTCCATCATTGCTATTATTATGCCAGCTGAGAGTCCGGAAGAGCCTGAAAGAGTAAATGCTTCTTTCCTGCCTGCTAAGGAAGAGTTTCTTGACATAGAGGAGACAGAGGTAATTGAATATAACGGAAATGAAATACTGCAGACTGAGCATTCATACTGTAGGCAAGACATAGACAGAGATCAACTTTGGCAAAAAATTTCAAAACTCCACTCTAAGATAACTTTACTTGAAATGCAGGAGGTAAAAACTTTGGGGAGACTCAGGTCCTTGGAAGCTCTTATTAGACAATTGCAGCAAGAAAACCTGCTTTCTGAAGAAAAGATGAAGTTGGTAAAAAACTACTTTACAACACTTGAAGTGACTGTGATACAGTAAAGGCTTTCAGTTGATGGTTCTAAAATACCTTTTTAGCCTCTTTGACTGTACTTCTGGACAAATTAACTTTTTTCCCAGTTGTGGTGTTTTAAAACATCTAATGCAAATCATGTGAATAGCAAATATTCTTTAAAATGTTACATCAAACAAAGCTAAGTGGTAGAATGTTGTCTGTAAAACATGACTGGCAAGTAAAATTAAAAAACAACCCTGAATTGGGCAAAGCTTTCTTAAGCATGAATCAAGTCAGTAAAAGATAATTTAACCCTTTATTTGCTGCAGGCTTCCCTGAAACATGCAAGGCCTGCATTTGGGACAGCAGTAGAATGGCCAGAATAAGCATATAGGATGAACAATTACATATGTACAGATATGCATTGTCCAGTGAGGTCAAAATTGCCCTTCATTTGTTCTGATCATTTTTGTACGCTTTGATCTTATTAAAATTGTTTCTGCATAAAAGATGTTTTCTTTCATTTGTTTATAGAAAAAAAATCTCATAAGAATATGGTTCCAGTGGACAGGCTCATCTCATTTTAAATTTTTTTTTATGATTCAGCTCAAGTGGAAAGCAATCATAGTCACAGATGTATTTGCTAGTTAGTAAAAGGGAAAGCTCTATTTAGTGAGTGCTGTCTGCATTGATCATGTTACAGCCTACAGCTTGGTAATGCATATACCCTTAATAATACACTGGAAGAAACAATGTTCTGCAGACCAGGTTGCTAGTGAAAGTAGCAGAATTTTACTTTGGAAGAAACTGAATTACAGACCTAGAAAATTACTCCCCTTTACTGATTTTATTAACTATATCTAGTGCATGGTTTATCCGTATAGTAGACAGATGTTATAATTAATTTCAAGGAAAATTAATTTGCTTAAATACTTTCTGCTTATTCTGTCAGTGTGCCTTGCTGTATGCTCTAGTACAGTGAAAAAGTCCTAGATTGTCTGGTTCCTGACTTGACGCCATAGCTGCACTAGGTGATCCTTGTTACACCCCTTCCAGCTGAACTCTTCTAGTATCTTATATTCCACAAGCATTACATTGCTTGAGGATGTTTTCTTCTTTATTTAAAATGGTGTCATTCCCATCACCACAAGTTCAGTCTAGGATTGGAGCAAATGGGTTCCTTTTAAATATTATTTGTATTGTCTTGTATACACTTTCTAAACTGTTCTGGTAATCTTTTCATAAGGAATTGAGAATCAGCTCACACTAGCTACAAAGCTGGCCTCCAACTAGATAATAAATTTTAATCTCAAAATGTTGAGACTTGAAGTGCAGAAGTTGGACTGTTAAAGCACAGTGCTTTAGGAGGTTAGTCTGCATTAGTAACCACTGGATTAAGCTTGCTTTGTCCTGCAGCTTGTTACCTTTTTTCAGAATTGAAGCACAGGCTGTGCTTGGTAAAATCGCTGAAGGATGAAGGTCACTTACAATATGGTGAGTTATTTACCATGTCTCTGACTCACTCATTTTTCCCTCCCTGGAACAAGAGAACATTCCTGTTCTGCCTTGTGTGCTATGAAATCACAAGGGGTGTCCTGTATACTGTAGAAACATTGCTGCCATATCTGATCCTGTCTTGAGAACATTGTCCAAGTGGCCTCTCTGAACTGCACATTTTGTAATGTCTTACAAGGTAAGAAATCTTTCAAAGTGATTTACAAAATGCTATATAAAATTGCTAAATTATTTGGCAATATTAGAAATCTCATAAATGTGCTACAAATCCTTTGCTAATGCTGTATATTTTAAGACTGACAACGCATTTCAAAAGTCCTTGAATGGCAGTGAGAACTCAGACATGGCAAAAGACTTGCAACACCATAAACTGTTATCTCAGCAAAGCTCTATTCCCCCCAAATTTGTGGGGTTTAACATAGGATTTGCATTGCTGATATATTTTTGCTTTTACTAAGAGCTTATGGTATTAAAATTGAGACTATTCATGGCATAGATTTTTTTAAACGTAGGAAAAAAACCAAAATGCTCACTTTTCCATTCTTTTATGTAGTTTCTTAGGTTGACTTTAGCTGGATGCCAGATGCCCACCAAACTGTTCTATCTCTCTCCTTCCAGCTGGACAGGGGAGAGAAGATGGAAAACAACTCATAGGTTGAGATAAGACCGTTTACTAAAGATAAGCAAAAGTTTGCACACACACAAGCAGAGAGACAAGAAGGGTTAATTCTCTACTTCACATTGGCAATGACATTCAGCCACTTCCCAGGAAGCAGCAGTTCAGCATGCATAGGGATTGCTCCAAAAGGCAAGTACTGTAAATAACCAATCCCATCCCCCCCTTCCTCTTCATTCCCTTAGCTTTTATATGTGAGCTGACACCATATGGTATGGAATATCCCTTTGGACTACGTGGGTCAGCTGTTCTGGTTGTGTCCCATCCTGGGATCGTGCCCACCCCTGGCCAAGAAGTTGGGGTGACTGCACTGCTGCTGTGCCAGCTGTGCTCAGCTGCAGCAAACACATTAGTGTGTTACCAGCACCTTTCCAGCCACCAGTGCACAGCACAGCACCATGAGGGCTGCTCTGGAGAAATTAACTTTGTCTCAGTCCTAGATTACAGCAGGAAAACTCAGTAACTCAACAAGCCTCTTGCCAGGTCTACAGATGTCCCTCCAGAGTGTGTTTTGGACCAGTGGGCCCAGGGTGGATATATTCATTTAAAAATATTCAGCATTACAGTTGTCTGTTGCTGCTGAAAGGAAGCTATGTCTGGGTCCTTTGCTTCAGTTACATGCTAACCCTGAATTAAGTGGGCTAACTATTACAAGTAAGGAGAAGTAGCATGTTGAGAAAGAACAAATCCCTCTGAATTGGATGCTAGATGTGTAGTGTGATTTCAGTGTTTCCTAATCATAAAGTGCAGCCCTGCACACACACAATTTTTTTTTCCTCTAAGCTTTAGGGGCATTTGTGCTATGTATCACTCCTTAAGATCTAGTGGAAACTGCTTCTGTACAGTTGCATCCCTGCATCTGAGTAGTGCACTGAATCATCATAATTCCTTTTGCAACGTGTCAGGCTTATCTTGATCCAAGTCAAATGTGCACATTTATCTTTTCAATAAATTTTCATTTACATCAATGTTTTAAAAAATCTTTTGACTTACCACTTCCACTGAAGTAACTAATTACTTCAACCGATGCAATCTGTTTTCTTAAGTCACCAAGTTGAACTGTTCAACTCTATTTCTTTTCCACTGTCTGCTGGCTACTGTAGAAATTTGACATTTGCTTTCTCCTGGGTCTTTATTTAAATTCCACTCATTTTATTAAATTTACCTACAAGCAGTGGCATTCCATCTGGAATGAACTGGTGCCCATTTCCTGTGATTTCCATCTTCTGAATTTATCACTCTAATTCTATGAAATTTATCTCTCATTCTGAATGCAGGGGAGCTAGAGGGGATTTTTTTATTCTTCTCAGACTAACAGCTGTCCAGAGTTTCTCTTTTGTGCTTTCTTGCATCAGAGGTGTAAATATTTGTTGCACTCTTGCATGCATCAAAAACATTCCTTAGAAGTCTGTCTAGATTTCTCATTCAATGCCTCTGATCTTTTTTTTTTTACCACAGTGAATTTGTAAATATTCCACTTAAACCACTTACCACTTAAACTCTCTCTGCCCGCCTATGAGAAATGGTGAATGAAATCAATTTTTTGCTTTGCTTGCCTGTATAGCTTTTGCTTTCCTTGTTAAACTGTCTTTATAGTCAACCCATAAATCCCCTCACTTTTGTTCTTCTGATTCTCTCTCCCCATCCCACCAGGAAGAGTGTGCAAGTGGAGCATGAGGCTGTCTTAGTTTCTGGCTGAGGTTTAACAATAACACACACTTTGTTCCTAACTGCCTTATGCACAACTTGATGCCTCCTCTGCCTGGATGATGCCACTGAACTGCAGGTTAATGTCATACACACAAATCCACATCCTGCACTTCAGCATATCCAGTGCTGCCTCAGCAAAGCGTTAGGACAGCTTAGCAGCCTTTGCCTGGCACAGAGAGATGCTCTAACACCCAGGGACCCCATCACACACCCAGGGACCCCATCACATCACCAGGCCAGGGCTTGTGCTGGCAGGGTTGTCTGCACTCCATGGGCTCCTACTGCCATAATTACTTGATTAAGTCAATGGCAGTGGTAAGAGACTGCTTGGCAGAATGTGTTATTTCTAAACCCGCTGAAAAAGTGCTGAAATTTCTTTGCTCTTACACTTGTTAAAGTCTTTAAGACTTTGAAGTCTTACTCATAATGACAGTAGGGCAATGAGATCCAGAGTCTGCTTTTGTGAGAGATTGCAGCTGCACAGTAATAGGCACCACAAAAGACCCACTTCCTTTCTGGGCTACCCAGGACACACTGTGAGCAGCAGAATGAATTTTTTAACCCCCCAGGCAGAACTGGACAAGTTCCACATCCAGCCTTGAGGAAAGGTATAAGACATAGGTGAATGACTGGTTCCTTTCCATAGATTCCACAAGCAGAAAGCCTCTTGCTGTGTAGTAAGGCTGGACCAGAAACAACACCTGCACAATGGGACTAGTGAGATGCTCAGGGAAACGGGAGGAAGGAGTGGGCTCTGGCATTGGCACGGGCAAATGTGCTCTTCTGTGGGGCATCTGCACCACTGCAGCACCAGTTGTGGGTGCTGTCCCTCTCGTATTCCCAATGCCAGGCACAGCTCAAAGCTGCAGAGAAAACCAAGTAATGCACTGGACGTCATGAATTGCCAACACCAAGGCAAGAGGGGAAAGAAACAGAGAAAGGGAAAAGGGCAAATTATATGCTTATGAATAACTTTTAAAATGAGCTTAGATTTGGACAAAAAAGATATTATCCTTTGCTTATTTATGAAAAAATTTTCCAACTTGCTAACACTAAATTTTTGCAGCCTCAGGTGGATGTCTGGAAATGCTTTTGAATTTTATTCCCACTTAAAAAAAAAAATCACTGCTCTATTTTCTCCTTTACTGGAACCAGTGTAATGGATTTCTAATTTACCAGGCCATTTACTGCTGCCAAGATATGAGTTTCAGCCAAAATATTTTCCACAAAGAAAACAGTAAGAGTAAAGCATCTAAGCAGACATTTTCCAGTAAACATATCTCTTGGCATTGTTAAATATTACGGGGTACATTGCAAAAAGTCAATCACTGTTTAAATACCCGCCTTTCCTGTAAAAAATTGACATTTCTGATGGCACAAAATTAATTTAGAGGCCTTTTCCGTAGCCATTCAAAAAGGTTAAACCGTAGAGATGCCTGTGGAATTTTGTATATTTCTGTGTAAAAAGAATATATATTGCATATAACTAAAGCTGCAGTGCTCCGTCTAAACAGCAGGTGGTGCTAAGGGATCACTCTGTAGACGCGAAACTGAAGGTGTATTTTATTTTTATTCTGTTGTTAATTAAACATATGCAAACAGATTAACTA